TTTTTTTGTTTTTTGGGAAAGAAACACCGCGAAGATAGAAGTTGTGGCTGGACCTCCAACTTGTATATAATCAGGCCCAAAATGGGCTGAAAATCCACAAATCTACATGTTCAGCCAACAAGCAGACCAAACCAAAACCAGAAACAAAAGAAAAAAAAAACCAGAGTGAAAAATCTAAAATTGGGTTAACAGGTGTCCAGGCGAACAGCTTGCGCCACAAGTGGGTTAAAGCATAAAAATCAAAACAACTACCCAAATTTGAACGATGAGTAATCAATTTAGTCCATCCGCACAAGAGTACGGAGGCGGAGAGGAGCGTCGTCCTGCTGAAATATGCGCCTCTAGGGAGTGGAGACACCGATGCAAACGATCAAGAAAGTAAGCGGGTCGGTCCCTCGCGAAAGATGTGCGATATCCTGTAGCGGACCGACTGAAATGTGGATCTGATGCGAATGTGTGGGTGTTTGAATCTGTTGTGAATTGTGATGCCCCCCATATGTACTATTACCTGAATCGTGCTAATTATATGATTTATTCCCTATTAATCAAGAAACTAAATAAATATTGTCTTGCGTAATTATTCTTCTAATATAATAACAATGAAATATCTCAATTTTCCTATTTGATCAAAATTTGTGTACAAACTTTTAGAGTATTTTACTAAATATGAATATTATGAAATACTTGATAATTTTCATATGTACATCCTAGGTTATATTGATTTAGTAAATAAATAATGTGTAGAACATTACACATTAATATCATAGACAAAAACAAGTAATATCATTGGTTTGGATGATAAACCTATATTCCTCCATTTAAATACATACATATATAAATAAGCAAGGTATATAACTATTTAAAAATAACTAGTCTATTATATGTTTACAATGTGTATAACTATTTAAAAATAATTAGTATATTATATGTATAGATTTTCATATGTATTTCCTAAGATATATTCATTTAATTAATAAATAATGTGTAGAACAATTACAAATTAATGTCATAGACAAAAGTGTTGTATGAGAGACGGTATTTTTAGGGTTTGCCTAAGTATGCTGCAAAGGGCCATTAGGCTAGAAGTATGAGTGTTATATGGGGACACTTTTGTTTTTTTTTTTTTTTTTTGGGTTATATTGAAGTAATCTTTTGATTTACAAAGGGCTAAGGCTAGAAGTATGAGCGTTATATGGGACACTTTTGTTTTTTTTGGGTTATATTGAAGTTATCTTTTGATTTACAGTATGTATAGAGTTGAATTATGTGGTAATAGACATATTTTCTTAATGCTTGATAAAGATAGCTTTTTTTTTTTTTTTTTTTTTAAGATGTTAGTTGTTTCTTGCACTTTTCCTTAATGCTCGTATTCTTATGGTATTGATATGCATCTAACAAGCACAATAAGAAATGAATAATGCTACTTGTATCCTTTGGTGTATCACTTGGTTTACATCTAAGGGGTACATGTACCCATTTACCCTTAATGAACAATTTATAAATTGTCATTAAGGGTAAATGGGTACATGTACCCCTTAGATATAAACCAAGTATACATGTAGCATGATGCATAAGAAATACATTGGACTTTATGCATTTAACAAGCACATTACATACTGGAGGGAAATTATTTCGGTGTTATTGTCTATTTATCTATTGTTAATTCCTAGTCGAGTGTAAAAATTTGATTTTAGTACTCTTAAGTTGAGATGCCTATTTGTTCATGTACCATAAATTTCAATATGATAATTGTGAATATATGAAAAGTTTGATTATTTTCTATTTTAACTGATCCAATATTAGAAAATATCTTAGTTGAATTAGACAAGTCTACTGTAAACAATAACATTTTCTCAACACACATCAGAAAAAAAAATAATAAATATAATAAAATGAATCTAGTGACTTGATTATGAGTATATCACCCAAGCAAACAGTAATAGTATGGGCTTGTCTTAATGTAAGCCCTTATTGTACAGATACACTAATAGGAGATAAATCTTGATCCAACTCAATAGCAAAACAAAATCTTGATCTATCTCATAGCAACTAAGAGGAGTGAGTTAATAATAGAACATCATAGTCGGAAATGAATATTTACAACTGCCGGATGCAAATACACGGTCTGTTGTACAGAAATCGCTAGCGGCAAAATCGGGTGGAAGAGAAACGAAGATATCTTTTTCGCCCGGGTGTCTACGCCACCGGATTCAGGTCCTTCCATATAAAATCAATGATATGTTATATCGAACGATCGATCGATCATCAGAATACGAGACGAGCTGAAATCCGGGCTCTTCCAAAATTTTTTATTATTTTTTTTCAAATGCCAATTTTAACATCCTAAAACAACAAATATAGAATCACACAATGTACCTGGATGGATCTTGAATTTTAGAGTCTTTGGATGCCTTCTCAAAATAAATTTGATGGGGTGATCAGTCGACTGCCTGTGCCGATCAGTTGCCGAAATCAACTGCAAAATGTAGATCAAAAGTTAAAACATAGTAGACTTTAATAACCAAAAAAGAAAAAGAAAGAAAGAAATGTGGCTCAATTTAGAGCGTACGTTTTGGGCAAGAGAAAGTGAACCTTTTCATCATATCGAAAGAGGGAGTGGTCGAAATACGGTGATGGACTCTGAGACTGACAATTCATAGGCAAAACAGATAACATCTTCTTCACAAACTGCAAGTTGAGAAAAAAATGAGAAGGTCGTAAAAAACATTATGCCAACAATATCAGTTGAAATGGTTAAAGCTCGAATCAAGTCTTGCCAAATTACACATAATAAAAATAAATAAATAAAAAAAAAGGTTGAATAATATTTCGAAACTACGAATTCACCCTAGTGTTAAAAGTTTACATAATGGGGCTTAAACCAAGTGGCAAAATAACGATATAGTACGATTTCAATAAAAATAAGAAGATACCTGCATGAAGCTGGTAGTCTTGTTTTTATTGCTTCTTAACTGCTCGAGGGCATGGATGTTGTTCGAATGAGTCGATAAAAACTTCATGTAAAACAAACTCTTTGAAGATGTATGGAAATGGTCACAGAACAGCTCAAATAATGCATAAAGCTCCTCGGCCGAACTCTACAAGAAAAGAACACAAAAGAAAATAAGAAAGAAAATGAGTAAAAAGCAGACCCCAATACACCTGATAATGATATTAATAATGGTAAGTATTTGATTACTGAAATCAGAGAGAAAACAATGAATAATGACTACAAACACCTGATAAAACGAAACAATTTGCGTTGTCTCCATATTGTATACAGCAAAGAATGCAGGATTATTGTCCGTACTTCGCCCCACCTGAAGCACAGGGGAAGAAACACATGAAACGAGTGATGGCACCCAACTATTTAAAATGTCAATTTCAAATATCTGAGTAAAACAATTCCTTATATATACTGCAAAAAGGTCGAAAAATTCATTATTAATAAACAAGATAAAAGTACTCACTCCACCGTCAATACTGCCGAACTTGATCAATAGGTGATGGCGGTCTAAGAATTGCACCTGTTAAACATAACGTAAAAATATTCTATAAAATAGGACAAAAGACAAAATGGGGTGAACAATGACAAATCTAAACGAAATTATATGTAAGCTAAGATTGTGACCTTCCATATACCCAAATCAGCATAATCCTGGAAATGGAAATAAAACTTTTTCTTCAGGTATTGCATTCTCTGTAAGGAAGAAAGGGAAAGAAGAAACGGGGACAGATTTCAGAAAACATAAAACAAAAGGAGTTTATAATATATCGAACTTTCAGGCGAACATTTTGAACTCTTCACTGGAAGCTATTAACAGCCCAAGTAGCACGAGAATCGACATAGACATTTGCAAAGTCAAGTCTAAAAAATACTAACACAGATACCGTTGAGCCATTCCTATAGACTGGGTCAGAGACTAGTCTTTCCAAACAAAAATATGATTCGACTAAATTCGGAGGCTATATAGAGTGCTGACGAGCAAAACACATTGAACATAAATACTTAAAAGTTGAAACAGATCTGATCTTGATTATAGACTGCTGTTATAATATACATACAGAGAAATTATATATATATATATATATATATATATATATATATATATATTGGACAAAAATAAAGGTAGCTATATCCTTCCAAAAATCTCAAATGCTGGGAAGTAAAGCAAAACAGGTGAGCTTTGCTGACGTATAAGGCACCCAACCATGGACAGATGAAATTAGACAACGGCAAATCTTAAAGACCAAATAAATTGAAAGCAGCTACCGAAACCACCAAACAGTTTCAATTTACTACTGAACCCCCCAACACACACACACACACACACACACACACAAAGAAGACAACTTTCAGTGTAATCATGGTTAAGAACAGGAAAAAAAATTAGTCAATCAATTCTACAATTTTTATTAAAACTAACAACGACATTGACTTACGAGTGCTGGATCCTTTTCTTCATTCCAAATCCCACGAAATATGAAGGAAAGCAATCGCTGCTTTAAACCACCCAAGAAGGGAGCTTCTGAAATAGGCTGCTGATGATTATGAAAACCATCCTCATCAATATCCGTCCTATTCCTGACTGCGATTGCCGTGCGCTGTAATTAGTAATTAAATTGCCGGTCAATACTGAAATTTAAAACGAAATCCACCAACAATATACCACTTCATTAACTAACGGAACAATTTCATAAAACAGATATTTTAGCTTGTTAAATCAACTTCATAATATTGTGAAGTAGAAAAACTTGAACAAAATACCACAATAACTTACAGCAAAAAAAAAAAAAAAAAAATATTAAGAGCTTGAAGCAGTACCACTTGCCTGAGCACTAGAATTCAAGAACAGCTCGTCATCTTCACGGCAGTATTCCCCAATGGACCGCACATCAACAAGGTTACCCGATTCTCTTATTTGGAGAATGTGTATTCTTTGATAGCGTAAAGAAACTATAGCGACCAAGTCATCGTACAAGTAAGCACCCATTGAATGCGCCAAACTGATATAATCATTGCAGAAAACCCTTTGGTCGAGTACAACTCCATCCTCCAATCTATTTTCGTTCAGAATAAGACTACACAATTAGTCAAACGAATCCAACCTTGCATATACAAACCTCAAAAGTCCAAGAAAAATACAAAACGGACCTCACGAGGTGGAAAGTTATTTTCTCGATCGACGGGACTCCTGGAATCGCACCCCCAACAGCTGGCGCATCCAGGATTTGCGCAGTCGAAGTTGCAAACAATCCAAACTTATTTTTTTCGGCGTAAAGGAAGAAATCCTTGCATATGAGCTCACCAGTAGAAGCAAGATTAAGAGCATACAATTTGGAGAAATAACTCTCGAATTTATTGGCTTTAGGAGGGAGGTCATGATTATATTCGCATTCTTGTTCACTGCATGAAAAGGTGAGCCAAGTTGGTCGGTAAACAATGAGATCCTGATGATTCCGGCTGAAGGTTATAAGGTACTGCCCATCCTCACTGAACTTACGGAAAAGAATGTCGGGGCACTCGACATCAAAAATCGTGTGGCTTGGGACTATGTTCTCGTAAAATCGTCTAGCACAGTGGAACTGGGAAAAATCAATGATAGATTGCACTGTTAGAATACTGAATACTGATGGAAAGATTGAACAAATTCTCTGTACTAGCATCCAATGATTACTCCAAATAAAAGGGTGAAAAAGGAAAACTATGAACCATGGCAAGAAGCATACTTCAAGTATTAAATATGTACCAAAATAGAGAACATGCTCTAGAACAGCGTTATTTTTGGTCTGACTGAAGTTCAAGTGGCTGCTTTATTGATATCCCATTTTAAACCACCTGAATTATAGAATTTGGAATTTCTAGCTCATGCCCTCACCGGCAACGACTTTTTTTTTTTCTTTTCTAGTAAGCTAATGAATAACGAATATTCTTTACTTCCACATTAAATACCCACAAAGACAAAGAAGTGTGGCCTTTCCTTGGTTTTCCCAAATGTTTACACAGCAATATTCGGATGCACATTGCTAATCAATCAAAATCTCGATTAACAACGAGGCTGCTAAAAGCTAAAGAACCCCACCAAGTTCATCTCCTTCTTCGTGCCCGAGATAACATGCCAACTATAAACACTTCTTGTCAGAATATTTAAGGTGGAAACTGTAATAGATTGATCTAACTCCCGAAAACTGCGAAAATTCCTTATATTAGTCTCGACTCCAAATCAAGCATTTCGAGCACAAATTCAAACACCCAAGAGGATCCCTCCCACCATTTTCAATCAAACGAATCGATCCAAACAAACATTAGACCATCTACAACAAATTGGACCCATTTAGAATCTAAATCACAAGACATAAACAACAATAGGGCTAACAACACGCACAATCAACACATAAACTGAAAAAATAAATAAATAGATAGATAAAGCTCAGAAAAGAAGTGGAACACAAAAAAAAAAAAAAAAAA